CGAAAACTTCAGCGACTTTTCCAACCCCCATGACCCTCCATCTTTATCTACTTTCCGAAACACCCGCAAAAAATTTTGTACCATCCCTCTCATCCCTTTTGAAAACGTGACTGTGAAGACCTATGAAGACAGATGCAACAACAAAACAGACGTCCCATTTTCCGAACAAGCATGGATCATCTGGAAAAGGCTAATGACGATAAGAAGACGAGCTCCAGTNAGAAAGTAAAGCGATGCCTGACTCTATCTTATCAGCAGTGAGTTCATGGCGCGCACGAGTAAAGCACGTTGAAACTCCATTATACAACTTTTGGATCGGAATGACTATCAATGGTATTGAGCAAAGACGCTTCAATCCATATGGCACTCTATTCCACCCCGAAAACTTCAGCGACTTTTCCAACCCCCATGACCCTCCATCTTTATCTACTTTCCGAAACACCCGCAAAAAATTTTGTACCATCCCTCTCATCCCTTTTGAAAACGTGACTGTGAAGACCTATGAAGACAGATGCAACAACAAAACAGACGTCCCATTTTCCGAACAAGCATGGATCATCTGGAAAAGGCTAATGACGATAAGAAGACGAGCTCCAGTAGCCACCGATATTACCCACAGAATGCTGAACCGAGATCTCCCCAACATTGGGGAATGGGGAAGTGAATATCTCCAGAAAAGTACTTACGTGATTGATCCAACAACAGCCTGCCTCCTTTGTCGGCAAGCCAAAGATAAACTGTCACATCTGTATATGGAATGCCCAATGACCCTCAAAATCCTCAAGCTCAGCCCACTCAAAAACATCATCGACCTGTCCACCCAGCTCTCCATTACGACAACTAATTGGATTCAATGGTTCACACTACCACAAACAACCACCAAACTGGTAAAATTTGTACGTGCCATCTACGAAATGAACCACAATTACCGATACTCCGTCCCATACAAGAGCCCTGAAAAAGAACAAAACATCATGCAAGACTACGTTATCCATTGTATCACTCAACAACATGAAGACTTTAAAGNAAGTACTTACGTGATTGATCCAACAACAGCCTGCCTCCTTTGTCGGCAAGCCAAAGATAAACCTTCACATCTGTATATGGAATGCCCAATGACCCTCAAAATCCTCAAGCTCAGTCCACTCAAAAACATCATCGACCTGTCCACCCAGCTCTCCATTACGACAAGTAATTGGATTCAATGGTTCACACTACCACAAACAACCACCCAACTGGTAAAATTTGTACGTGCCATCTACGAAATGAACCACAATTACCGATACTCCGTCCCATACAAGAGCCCTGAAAAAGAACGAAACATCATGCAAGACTACGTTATCCATTGTATCACCCAACAACATGAAGACTTTAAAACCTTTCATCGACGATATCACCTAGACGATCCATGAAGACCATCTACAACCTTTCTCACTTAAGATGTTCTGAAAATTCGTTGGATTATTATGACGCCGGTTTCCCTCTTTGTTTTGTCTCTTAAAAGGAGTTTTTCCACCTTTCATTAGGATGGTTCTCCTTTTATATATCATGTAGTATTTAATGTAGATTTTAGCTATCTTAATATTATATGAATGAAAAAAAAAAAAAA